TGTTGTGTGTTCATTTTTTAAAAAATGTGACATTTGTTTGGACCTTGCACAGAATGTTCATGAGTAATCATTATGTTTTTGGTGGGTACTTTTTATTTATTTCAATTCTGCAGTCCGGCATATTGAACATCATTGAAGCTTTGGAGCTTCCTCCTGAATCTGTTCATCCCATTTATATTGCTGCTTGTGCTGACAGGTCCAACGAACTTACGTTCTGTATATTTTCATTTACAACTATACAAGTCAACTTTGGACGCCTTCCAAATTTTTATATTACGTGTTTATTGAGTTTGTGTTCTCCAGTCATGATTCTGTTCTCAAAAAGGGGGAGGAGCTCTTGAAGAAGAATACATCTCGTGTGGATTTAGAGGATCAGACACTGATTGGCAGACTATTTCTATTATTTAATGGTATGTAGCCTCTACTATTTTAGGACTGAAGTTGATTGTGATTCTAATTTAGATTTAATGATTATTGAAGATTAAATTAGTGGAATTGGATAAAAGTAGTTGGAGGGAAATGTTTGTATTCTTCTAGCGATATGCTAGAGGCATTTTACATTCACTACATCAATTTATATAGCAGTCTTTGCTTCTCATCTGGTGCAGAAATGTAAGCATTGTAATATAAAATTTGAGTCTTTGTGTATATGTAGGAACTGCTGGCTCTGAAAGCGTTACTCCAGAACTAAAAGTTAATCCTGGAAGTTTAACTCTGAGAATGAGGCTGATGTCCATTTTCTCCCGATCGATTACTGCGGCAAACAGTTTCCCATCAACTTTGCAGTGCATTTTTGGGTGCATATTTGGTAAGATGAAAACTGTGCATCCTATTTTCTTTGAATCTTGTTTTTCTAATGTTCTAAAGCTTAATTACATTTTCTGGCTCACCTTAACTTTAATAAGGTCACACACCCATGCAGAAAGATTCCTCCATATTAAATATGTAACTATAAAGCCAGATTTACTCTCTTTTGAGTCCTGGTAGATTAACCTATAAATTAGATAATCAACCTTTGTTGTCTCCCTGGAACCGGATGTGTGAAGTTACTTCATGGACAACCTATAATGGAGCAATCTGTGTTGTTATCAGGAATGCTTGAATTTAATTACTTTATATTGATTAAAACTGAAATAACGTTTTATGACCAATAGTGAAAGTCTAACGGTGTTCAAGTATGGCTCCCAATCTATATTTTAATAAACCTTATACTTTGTTGGACTTTACGGTCTCTTTAAAACCTGTACTTTTTTC